TTTGCATTTCAAAAGAGTGAAGGCAAAAGTGACTCACAATTGGATTGTGCTAGAGTATTGGGAAGTATGATGTATATCACGAAGTGTGCGCGATCAGATATATCATTTGCTATTAATAAACTAATTGAACTCATTATATGATAATGAAAAGAGTTTTGGAGTATTTAAGAAATACTTAAAACTATGTCTTGCATTATAACAATATCTAGCAGTATTGAAAGGATATAGTGATGCAAATTGGTTAACCAGGATCAAATGAAGTGAAATCCACGAGTGGATATGTATTTACTCTTGTTAGAGGAGCAGTCTCTTGGAAATATTTTTTTTAAAAAGAAAAAAAAAAAAGACATGTATCGTTAGCTCTACAATGATCTCTGAGCTAGGTGCTCTAGATAAGGTCGGTGAATAAGTTGAAAGACTCCGGAATCTTGATAGATATTCGTTTTGGCCCAAACCTTTGGCATCAGTATGCATACACTTTGATAGTCAAGATGCAATAGGTAGGGCATGGAGAATGATGTATAACGGAAAGTCTAGTCATATAGGACATAGACAAGATACCGTTAGAAACCTACTCTCTAGTGGAATTATCAGAATTGACTATGTAAAGTCAAATGATAATGTGTCGGATCCACTTACAAAAAGGCCTAACTAGAGAGAAAGTTTAAAGATCATCTAAGGGAATGGGTTTACGGCTTAGAACAAGTCATCATGGCGGTAACTCTATCTTGCAGACTGGAGACGGAATAGGAGGGCTTCTTGGAATCGGAGGAGGATTTCCGAAAATTGGAGGACTTCCAACAATAGGAGGACCCTCAGGAATTGGTGGGGGAGGACTTCCAGGAATAGGAGGACTTCCCGGAATCGGAGGACTCCCAGGACTTCCTGGAATCGGAGCACTTCTAGGAATTAGAGGAGGAGGAGTTCCCAAAATCGGAGGACCTCCAGGAATTGGTCTTCCAAAAATTGGAGGACCTACAGGAATTGAAGGAGGACTTCTTCCAGGAATAGGAGGACTTCCAAAAATCGGAGGACCTTCGATAATTGGAGGAGGAGGACTTCCTAAAATTAGAGGACCTTTGGGAATAGGAGGAGTAAAAGGAGGACTTCCTGGAATCGGAGGGCTGCCTTGAATCGGAGGACTTCCAAAAATTGGAGGACCTTCAATAATTGGATGACTCCCTAAAATTGGAGGACCTACTGGATTTGGAGGAGGAGGACCTCCGGGAATAGGCGGAGGAAAAGGAGGACTTCCAGGATTTGGAGGAAAAGGATGACTTTTCAAAACCGAAAAAATGTTGGGTTTTTAAAAGGTGTGAATGGAAAATGAAGAGTTGCGACTTTTATGAACAGTTGTGATTTTGATGAAAAGTTGCGACTTTTATGAAGAGTTGTGACTTTTATGAAAAGTTGCGACTTTTATGAAAAAGTTGTGACTTTTTATGAAAGGCAGTGACCTTTCCGAAAGATTGTGACTTTTCCAAAGGTTTGTGACCTTTCCGGTAAAGGCACAATAAGAACCTTTCACACTACCCTTTGTTTTCTATAAATTGAGGAATTTCCTCTCATTTTAGAAACAGAATTTTTCTGGACTTCTTCTACTACTAAATCTAGTATTCTAAGTGTACTTTACTGCCGTTGAGTGGCTCGCTGACACCAGTGTTTTGGGTATCAAAACATTGGTGATTGAGATCATTATATCCTGGGAGGACATATTCCAAATCAAACCTTGGATACTAGAGGGGAATAATTTCCTTAAGGGGACATTGTGCATTCAGTGGGCTTGATCTTCTTTCTATTTTTCCAGATTCTGTTTTGTTCTAAGTATCTTAGGAATACAAGACGAGTAACAATCATTGCAATGAAGCAGTATTAATTTATCAAATGAAAATGATGAAATTATCTATTAATATTTTATTTTGTAATAAAGTAGTAATTTTAGCTATTTATTTATTATTTTAATTGTGATCAGATTAAAAAAAATCATTTTATTTTTTAATGATAAAATTGGTTGAGGGATTTTATTGACATAAATGTTTAAGTTGAGTGATTTCATTGATATAAAAGCCTAAATTGAATGATTTTATTGATACAAAAAAAAGTTTAATGACTTTGCTAGATAAATTTTCAAAGTTGAGTGACCTTTTGAGATATTAACTCGATATAATATACATATGTTTTTAACAAAGTATTTATACTTGCCGCAATACTTTTTTTAAAAATATATTTTTTATTTCTGTTATATTCCGTACTGAAGTAGAAAAAATTATTTTCTTAAAAATATATGGACAGCTGCTATTAAATTTCTAAATAAACGGTTGTTTTTCAATATTTATGCCCTTCAGTTTTTGGTGTATAGTATACAGATAGATATTTAAATTTGTATAAAAGTTGAACAAATAGACACACATACTTTACGTGGTATCCAACATGACAATTCGTGTCGTACGTATTGTATTATGAGTTATGACACGTAGATTCATATTCAACTTCATACAGGTCTAAGTAATAACCAAAATTGGAGGAGCTTCATTCCAGCTAATTGTTAGTAGTAGAAGTTAAAATTTGAGAAAATATTTGCTTTTGTATATCACATATAACTCTAGCCTCCCTTTGTTCTTTGGTTAATATATTTTCCAAGTTTATAGTATTAGCAGTTCAAGTTGCGCAGTCTAGTATTACTTGACTATCTTTTTTCTTTGATTTAGATAGTTTAAAATTAGTAAATGTACAAAATATAGAAAATCTACTATATATATATATATACAATGTAATTTTTTACCGAGAGGATTTGGGTGAACTCCTTGACAACCACGTAGGTCCATCCCTCGATGCGGATAAATATTAGCTACAAAAGTTGTTCTTGTAAGTCTTTTTTCCCTTTCAATATACCTTGTATCTTTTATTCAATTATATACCTTATATTTTTTTAATGTCGGGCACGGACAAATACCATCTAGTTTACAATATAAAATTGGGCTATATAAGTCGGTCGAAATGAAGAGAAAATGGTCCAAACATTTTAAGAGCCCTAGAATTAATTTCTTAGCCCAAATAAGTGTTGGGTTGTTTTGGCCCATTAATATACATCATACCTTAAAATTTAATTTCAACAATGAATACTATAACACCCTCTTTTAGAACAAATAGGGATAACATTACAACAAATTGAAATGGATACAATGAATAAAATTCATAACAAGCAAAATTACATTTGGTTAAAATTTAAAATGGTTTAAACTTAAATTGAAATATCCCTAGAAATTAATTAATAAAATTTCAATATTAATTTATTACTTAAATACGTATCTAACAACTCCAGGAAGATGAATTTTCATGAAATAATCTTCCCAATTAATAATCTTGGGATCAAAGTAGAAAATTTCTGGTTCAATGCCACTCTCTTTTGCTGCCATACGTAGTTTTTCTGTATTTAAATCGTCGAATCTGTAGAAAATACAACAAATTAATTACATAAAATATATATAACGAAACCAAGAAAATAAAATATAGGGATATTGCATTTAAACAATAAAGTGATAATATTTTCAAAATAAAATAAAATTTGAAAAAATAATTTTACTTATATTTTTGATAATATGTAGAGAATTAAGGATTTTAATTACTTACGCTGCCTTGAGGAATAAATAGGGTCCATAAAGGTCTATTAATCTCATTACAAATTTTATTTTCCTGTAAAGCTCCAAATATTTGCCTTGAAAATATTGACAAAATGCTGCATTTACTATCTCCAATCCCTATATAGAAAAAAAAAACAAATAAAATTAGTTATTATAAAATAAAAGATTAAACAATTTTTTATGTATGGGTTGCACGATATTTGACGGATTAAAACAGGTTGAATTAATAAATTAAATGGTTCTTAGTTTGTTCTATGTTAGATCAAGATGAACAAATCAATTTGGTTTAGTAATGAATCATAACTAAATTCACCCATCTCAAAATTATTTTTATTTATTCGTTTGTTAAAATTACTAGATCAAATTATTTAAAATGTTTTTATTTATCACGACTATATCAAATAAATCAAACTCCATAATGTTAGTTGTTTTTCAATACCCCTATATATGACCATATTTGACCCATCAATAAGTATCTATGTATACCCAACCCAATTTGTCCAAGTCTGGATGGACAAGACACAAGTTATCATTTCACCCACCTAGTTGTAATATATCGTTTATGAGTCATCAATAATGTATATCGAGTATATAACAAGTGTATATATATGGAGAAATGAAACAAACCTTTAAAGGAAGCATGTAATGAAGGGCCATGTATCTTTGAAAACTATCCATGCTACTCAAAACATTAACCTTGCCAACAATAATAGGTTTTCCATCAACTTTGTTGATCCATGGATTTTTTCTAAAGTAATTGAATCCATAATCTCTAAGATTAGTGATATTCAAAGGGTTTGAAACTGAGGATCCAATTTGGTATATGGTCTCACTCCCCTTTTGATCAGCATGAGCCATCATGGCTACTATCATTGAATTCACCACCATATCGGCTGGAATCTGCAAGAACGTTTTACGTTAATAGATTAAATTGACTTAAAATAATAAATACTAAAAGTTTTTATAAGATGTTTGATATTTATTTGCATAAGGTCTATACTAATTCAGATTCGGACAACATAAAGCCCTATACACTTTCTATTGATTTTTTTTCATTTTGAGGGATCGAACTAGAGACCTTTGATTAAGGCAGAAAAATCATGATTTCACTACAATAACAACAAACAACTCTTGATAGCAAGACTTCCTTAAAAAGTAGAAGAGTTTGAGTTCTCCACCCTAAAAATGTAAAAGATATATATTTACATGATCAAGTCATTTATAAGATAATTATAATTAATAAAATCATAATGAGAGTTAATTGTTAACCTAGGAAAAATATGGAATTAACATGTTAAATTATTAAGAATCAACACAACCTACATATCCCCGCACCGAGTTATTTAAATTAAAAATAGTTGAAGGATGTATAATATGTATAATCTATGTATGTAATTGTGTATAATAGTGTATAATCTGTGTATACCGATTTTAAAAAAATATTGTCTAATAATAATAGCATTACTTACCACATCCAATATTGTTTTAGGATTGCCAAGGAAGCAAGTTATTCTTCCTTTACCATATCCAACTGCCAAACTATCAATAGTTCTGCAATTTTCCACAAAAATAAATATAAGATTTTAAAAAAAATGGACTTCGGTGAAAAATAAAATTGTTACTTTTTTTTCCATAAAAATTGAATTTCTTCGAAATTTTTTTAATTTAATGAGTACCTGATACCTTCCACCCAACCAGGAAAAGGTTCTTTAAAAGTGCTAGTTATGATGGTAGGACGATTAATAACAAGAGGTACTTCTTCTTTCAATTTTCCCAAAAGCATTTCTCCCATTGCCTTTGTAAATACATATGTATTTGGCCATCCATATTTCCTTGCTCTTCATGATCAAAATCAACGGAGAAATTAATTATAAAAAATAACAATTATTGTCACACACAAAAAAAAATTAATTAGCTATAAAATTCGCCATTGATATATTACTATGTTAAACAACAAAAAGTCGTTGATATATATCTTATTAGTTACAAACTATTTAGCAACAGATTAACGATGAATGCATACCTTTCGAGGCCAAGCTCCTTCATTGTTGTTGTAATTGATTTTTCAGAAGCATTTTCAGCATTGAGTTGTTTCAATTTTTCATCCATCACTTTTTTTTCTGCTTCAATATCTAACCCTAATGTCCCATTGAGGGTTTCACCCATATAATATGGTTTTTCCAACATCAACCCTTCCTTTTCACCACATACATATGCTGAAAAAAAACAAATAATAAAATTATTATTACTTACTTTTATTTTATTATATGATTTTTTATCCATTATGTTTCTTTTTATAATTTTTTTTTTAAAGATAACAAGTTTAGACAAGATTACAAATTAGACCAAACACACATATACACAAAGGCAAAGCTAGGAGAGCACTAGAAATTGACACTATATATGGCTAACTTTTTTTTTATGTGTATATAGTAGATGACGAATTCCTGGTAAAAGTTTTATATTTTTTTGTTAAAAGTATATTATATATATAGTTAATTAATATGTGTCATTACAAAATTATGTATGGCATATTTTTCACCAATTTGATTTGGGAAACATTGGAGGGAAAACTAGTGTAACAAGCATGAAAGCAAACTATGTTGTTCAACTCTTCAAGAATAATGTTAATGTGTGTGTCAGATTATCCAAAAATAATGAATTCTTGGAGGTTTCAAGACATGCATGACAACATTCCTTGAGAGTTAGAACAACATAGATTTTTTTTTATGTTGTTCATAAATACTGTTAATGTGTGGGTCAACTTATTCAAAAACAATGCATTTTTGGAGGTTTCAAGACGAGCATGACATCATTCCTGGAGAGCTCCATATGAGACAACAAAATAATTTTTATTTTATTTATAAATAGAGAGTTTTTAATTTAATATTTGAAAAGTTAGGTACACTAACCAGTTGACACATGAAGAAGAACCTTTAATTTATTACACTTCTTGGCAAAGTTTAGGACATGTCTAGCTCCAAATGTATTAAGTCCCAATGCCACATCATATCTACATATATAGAAACATAGAGTTATATTGGTTAATTAGAAAAAATAATAAACTTAATATTAAATTAATAATTAATATTTAGAAAATATTTTTTATATATATATATATACCTTTCATCAAAATTGGTAGTTGCAGCTAGATTAACAACAATATCCACTTCCTTCCACATTTGTTCCAACAAATTTGTGTCATTCACACCTAAATTCTCACAAGTTATGTCACCTGGTACAATTGTGGTCCTTTGTGACACAAATGTAGTAAAATTTGGCCCACATTTTTCTCTTAGAACTTTGAATAAGTCCTTTCCCACAACCTATTTAGAAGCCAAAAATAATAATAATATAGTTATTGCACATATGATTGACAACTATTTTTATCGTACAGGTTATGTCAGAAAGATAAAATAATCTTCATTTTTAATCAAAACTTTCAAGTTTGAACCTTGAAAGAATACTTTACTTTTAAACTTTTGATATTTGGCGTGAATCTCAATTAGTTAAACTAAAGCACTAATGATATGATGACAATTGTTCTTTCTTGATTAGTCAAACGTAAGGTGTTATAATTAATTATTTAGTTTTTCCTTTTTTTATTTAGATCACAATTTAAAGACCCAATCCTTTTGTAGCAAATAAAAATTAGTAAAGTACTATTAGAAAACGTTAGATTACAATCTAAAATTTTATAATATTAGATGAAAATCTAATAATTAGTTAGTTTCAAGGATTATATTTGTACATTATTAGGAAAAAAATAGCGAAAAAAATCTAAATAATAACCTAAAAAGGAAATATTTGCATAAATAACCTTTCTGAATTGGATTAATTGATGTCATGGATCCATTGACTGAAAATTAAATTAAATACAAATGATGATAGT